GTGTAGGTCATAATTATCAGCTAAATTATGCAAATTTTGAGATTTGTGTGTCATTATTATCATATGGACTGACATTTTTGATAATCAAAGTATACTTACGTTAGGTATTTACTCCATAATACTCAGTTGACACTCCATGCATGCATATGTCTCTTCTTTAAGCTAAGGTATGGAATAATTATTAGCCTATCAGCTAAAGATATATGGGGTTAAATTGTTGGAATTAAACGCAAATACGTAAGAAAATGAGGCCAATAATTTTACAAGTCATTGGGATCGCGGAGGGGGAGTTGGTGGCCAATTGACTCGAAAATCTTGTTTATTTTTAGTAATAAATTACTAATTAGAACATTCGAATGTGGACCCCGGAAATGTAACCAATCTTATTATATATTGATATGAGGCTTTGGCACCCAAAAAAGAAAAAGAAAAAAAAAAGAAAAGAAAAAGAAAGAGATCTTCTAGAACTTCACCAACTCGTGAATCATCCTCCATCATCTTACTCATCACGATCATGATCCATTTATTTTAATCTCACTTCTACTTCTAGCATTGATGATGCGAATAAGGGTTTTCCCCTTCCTTTCTTGTTTCTTTCTTTTTCCCCAATAAATATTAAAAAAAAACAATTAAGATAACCAGATAAGTCTGTTCAAGTTTGGTTTGGTGAGCTAGAAGAGTGACAAATGTGTGACTGACAAATAATTGATGTTGCCTATGTTTGATTTTTAAATGTACGATGTTCGCATCTTGTTACTTAAAATTGGTATATTTAGAATTATTCCAGCAACAAAATATAGATCATTTTCTCCCTTTTCCACTTCAGTGGTGGTGGCTTCGAATTTTCATAATTATTTTGTTTGTGTTCTTTTGCGCTTTGGACCATTATTGCTGTACCGCGTAAATGTTTCGTTTTCACTTTTTGCTCGCAAATGATTTTTATCATTTGGAGCTTTCAGGAAAACAAATAAAAATGGTTGGTGTTCGAGAATGTACTTCGTCAGAAATGATAGATGTTAGACAATTTTTAAAGGTTCCCTTTCTTCCATTGTTTCATTAGTAAATATTAAACCTATTGGGGTGCACAAGATTATAGAGTGTACAAAATAGGTGAAATTAATTAAATCAGAATTACATATGAACCTCAATCAAATAAAGACAATTAATTAGCTATTAGTACTTACATAGGAATAGGTTCAAGAAGTTTACATTAGTTGGGAGGTCGTGGTCACCTATGCGGACCATCTTTCCTTTTTTGTGTTTATGATAAAAATTTATGTGAAATATTCTTCGACATCTATATACTGAACATTTATTCACTTGACGTGGCTTTTATTCATACATTTTGAAATATGGGGGCTAGGTATATACCCCTTTTCCATAATGGTGGTTATTTTCTTCTTTTTTTTTCCTGGTCAGAATAATGGTGGTTATTTCTTTAATTTCTTATAAAATTCCTTCAGTAAAATTTGAACAAAAATCTCGTGATTATATATCAATTCTTAGCATGTCACTACACTAGAGAGTAGAGCCTCCTTTCATAATGGTATCTTACTCAAACAATCAAAACCATAATTTTGTAGTGATTTGAATATATATACCCCAGCTCTTTGAAGGTTGGAGGCTTGGAGCCAGCTTAGGGAAAGATTATAATACTAAACAAGATTTTCTTGTACTAAATTTGGAATATCCGGTGGACTTTTCTCAGGGTTACGTACTCCAAAAGGGCTATTAAATTAACCCATGAGAAGGAGAGCAAGAAGTTAAGGGCTGCTATTATGGGAGCATTATTTTAATTAATTTCTAATAGATAAGTTGTAGTAGTTAATTTCTACTGTTACTCTGATGTAATGGTGAATTTGCGTGATTAAAAAGTCTCTTTGTTAGTCTATATAAGTTCTATTGGAGTAGTTATGGATTATGTGATTAAAAATTCCTTTATCTGGTTTGTAGCATTTCCCTTGTGGTTCAAGGAAATAGATAGTTACTTTCCCTGGACTGAAACACATTATATTTTGATGTTTACATTTTCTCCTCAAGTCACTAAATATAATGATTTAGTTAAAATATGTAGCCACGACAGCTGATCTTTTTTTCGTTTCGAATTCATTGTATGAAGATTACTGTATACAATAAATAGTATTACAATGAATATATATACTCTCTCCTTCCCATAATTGTTGTCCAGTTTTACTTAAATGAAAAATTTTATTTTTAGTCAAACTTAACTATATTTTACCTTGAACAACCGGATATACCCCTACATAAGTAATTGTTTAACCACAAAGATTTTATGGATAATGTTTTTTACTAAGGACAAACGCGTAACTTGATTCATAAAAAGTCAAATTGGACAATAATTTTGGGACAAAATTTTTAGGCAAAATGGACAATAATTATAGGACGGAGGGAGTACTTCATATTTAGGATTGGCAACAATATTAGGAAGACATTAAGAAAAACTAAAAATTTGAGGGAATTTTTTTTTTTTTTTTTGTTTTCGAGAATGAATTATTTAAATGCAAACAAGATCTTAGTACTTTTTGTTCGATAACAATAGCTACAAAAGACAGCAGATTAAATTAACTTCAAAGAGATGATATTAGAGTCAAATAGCAACTTTTGTGATCTTTGGATATGGGATACTTTAAAGATGAAAAAAAAAAAAAAATACTAAGGGAACATGTAATACCTCAGCTGCTAGGTCTGGCCCAATAACTATTTGTGTGATCGTCCTCGCTAGACCCAAAATGATTAACCCAAATTATTAGTAGAATCAGCAGCTTGAGCTTATGAATCGATCGCCGTAGTCACACGGCAGCGATGTGGGACAAGCCCACCTGTGTACTTTCACGGGTCATCACACTCGACCCCTTTCGAATTCTTGCATCCCTGCAAGGCCCAAGACACATAGCAACATGCAGCACATACAGTTAGTCCATGCTCCCCTAGAACAGATGCGTTTCACTTGTCTCAGAGGTGGGACAAGCCCACCTGTGTACTTTCAGAGGTGTCACACAGCATTTATCTTTTACGTGTGAGCTCAGAGGTGGGTCTGCACTCGGATTAGGTCGGTTCTGATACCAATTGTAATAACTCAAATGCTAGATTTGACCTAATAACTAATTAAATAATCGTTCTCGCTATACCCAAAATGATGAATCCAAATTACAAAATGAGCAGCTTGAACTTATAAATCGATCGCTCTAGTCACACAACAGCGATGTGGACAAGCCCACCTGTGTACTTTCACGGGTTATCACAGAACAGACAACATACAATCAAGTAGTCGACACTGAAACCAGTGATCATCATCTAGAAAGAGTAGTAAAATATTAATCCATAATTAATTATGACTCATCCCTGCAAAATGTATAAATTAGTGGTATCACGAAAAAATAATTTTTGGCCTCCCCTCTCCCATTGATCTGACATGATGTGATCAAGTGCAGTTCATGATCCACTCTCATCACGATAATCAAATTCTCACCCTAACCCAACCCAATAGTTATGTTTTCTGAATGAATTAATTACCACGCACGCTAATGAATTACATATACAAACATAAATCAATGAAAGGATAACACTGATTTGGATTTTTTTTTGACACTCTCGATACGTTTATACGACACACTAACATCGTCTATAACTTTATATATACACGTCTTTACAAAAAAAATTGTTGATACTTTTATTAACATTATGACTGAATCTAATGAGTTATTGTCTAAATAATATTAGGTGTTATAAATTATTAAAGACTGTTATGATAATATTTGACATGTAAAAGAGAAAAATAAATCGAGAACATAAAAAAAAAAATTGTCCCAAAAAGAAAGAAAATAGAAAGATAGAGTCCTTATTATAAGGTATTTTGAATTTGTTAGTTTCACATAGAATGCTTTTTTAATTGAAAAAAAATCTTAAAAACATTTTCTTATAATTAAGAAAATACAATGAGTGGGAAAATATGTTTTTTTAAAAAAATTTCGATTAAAATGACATTTTAGGTGAAATCTAAGATAAATTAAAATACTTTATAATAAGAATTGTAAGGAGTAATATTTTTCTGAGACGAAAGAATAATAATGATGTTGATGAGTAGTGGGTTAGTCCCAAACAAAGAGGCTGTATAGCATGATAACAATATGAACACGAGCAAGCACATGAGCAGACAACAGGCACTAGGGTGTCTGATCAAATTATAATGAAAACTTTATAATTAATGCAATAATAATTTACCAATATTTATAAATAGATTTAGCAATTAAGGAATGAGAGAAGTTTATATATAAAGAGAGGGAGAGAGAGTGGGGGGAGTAGAAGAAGAATTGTTGTCGTTGCCAATGGAATTTTGGAAGAAACTCAGGTGAGGAAAGATCAGCCACCTAGCTCCCTCTCCTTATATTATTATTATCATATACCCATTATTTAATTCTTGAGAAAAAGAATTCTTAATAATACTAATAGTATCTCCTCTTTGCTTTCGTTCTTCGTCCTTCTGCTTCTTCTTCATCGTTTCCCCAAAAAAAACAAAAAAAGCACCAACCGAAACAAAACAAACTAAACCTCCCCACATTCCCACAACACACACACACACACACTGAGAGAAAACACCCGTCTCCTCCATTTTCCGCAAAAAAAACTCGATCATTCCATATCCCTCATCGGTCCCCAAATTAGTCTCCAGTCTTCTTTTCTTCCATTTCTTCTAAATCTCACCCTTTTTTGTCTCTTTCTTCTCCCCACTGAATCTCTGCCAGTCCATCACTACTGTTTCCTTTTCCTTCCGCGTTAATTTATATGTCTTTTCCCCTTCCTAGATTCTTCCGTATCCCCCTTTTATCATCTTCACCTAATTCTCTTTTCTCTCTTCCCACACTGATTTCCCTTTCTTCTTTTTCTTCTTCTTCTGGGTTTGATTTAGTTTGGTGGGAAGTTGGGGGAAAATTAGTGTAGCGTTTTCCTTCTTTTAAATTTTCTTGGGTGTTGAAACTTAAATGAGAGGAGGATTTGGTAAGCATGAACGGATGTGGGGATCCGACGACGTCGAAAAGGGTGTCCTGAGCACCAGCACCCCGTCGTCCCCCACCGCTTCATCGTCGGCGGCCGGGGAGGAGTTCGTCGAGGTCACCCTTGATCTCCAAGACGATGACACCATCATCGTCCGCAGCGTCGAGCCGGCCACCGGTAATGTCGTCATCGACAGCGACGTCACCCTGCTCACCGCGGCCGCTCTCGGCATCGGAGGCGCGGAGACTCCGGCAAGCGGTTCCAAATCTCCGGCGGCGACGTTGATGAGGAGGACCGGCTCGTCGAACCGGCTGCTCCAGTTCTCTCAGGAGCTCAAAGCCGAAGCCGTGGCTAAGGCGAGGCAGTTCTCGCAGGAGCTCAAGGCCGAGCTGCGCCGGTTCTCGTGGAGCCACGGCGGGCATGCGTCTCGTAACAACCTCGCTGCGGCTTGCGTCGCGAAAGCCGACGGCTTGGAATCGGCTCTGGCGGCTCGAGCCATGCGTCGGCAGAGAGCCCAGCTCGATCGGACCCGTTCCGGAGCCGAGAAAGCTCTCCGGGGCCTCAAATTCATCAGCAACAACAGTAAAACCAAAGGAGCCGTCGACGGCTGGAATGAAGTTCAGACCAATTTCGAGCGGCTCGCCAAAGACGGTTATCTTTACCGGTCCGATTTCGCCGAATGCATAGGTAATTAATTATTAAGTTACGATTACTAATGACGTAATTATATAGTAGTATCTTATTATTTTTTTTCTGTCGTCCCAAAAAATGGTATGTAGGAATGAAAGATTCGAAGGAATTCGCGTTGGAAGTGTTTGATGCATTGAGCAGAAGAAGGAGATTGAGAGTTGAAAAGATCAGTAGAGATGAACTTTATGAGTATTGGTCACAGATCACGGACGAGAGCTTTGATTCGAGGCTGCAGTTATTTTTTGACATGTAAGTAATACGTGGTTTGATTGATTGATTTAATTAGTTTAATCAACAATGATTAATTAATCATCATACAATATACATTTTCGATATGATGATTAATCAGCCTACTTTTAGCGGTATTATGCTAATCACAATCAGATAGTTAAAATGAAAAGGAAACAAACAAAAAGGTAACAGTGTGTACACAGTAGTCCTAAATTAGATCAGAAGGTGGTCAAAATGTCTTTTTCTTTTCTGTAATAAATAGTCTTATTATTACTAATATTATTATTTTTTTTATAATTTGTTGATATACAAATTGTTTTTTCTTTTTAAATCTCCTCATAATAGGGTGGACAAGAACGATGATGGTCGAATTACTGAAGAGGAAGTCAAGGAGGTTAGTGTAAAAAGTTGTAGGCTGGCAGTCTATTTATTTCTTTTACCTTTAATTTAATAACTTTATTTTTTATTTTTTTTGTGTTATTAATTCTTGCTGGACATTTTTCCCCGTAAAGAAACTCTGTCCCTCTCCTTCTCGTGTTCGTATGCCTCAAATAGATAGTAACGTATCACGAACTGTGTTCAATTAATTTTTCATTCCTCAAGTAGTTAAAATTTAAATTTATTTTCTATAGCATTAATAGTAAGAATTAAATATGTTCATTTTAATTTTTGTTGATCAAATTTTCGTTACCTACATTGCCTGAACAAAGTGTACAAGTAATATTTCGTCCATAAATTTTATCAAAAAATAAATTAATTAGACTGAGATGAAATAGAGTAATTATTTAGTGTACTGACAATTTTTGAATCTGCATGTAGTGGACAACATCTGTCACATACTTGGTGATGACTACTCCACAAAATGATTATAAATATCTGAAACGAAAGACCACCCACGACCTCTTCCATATCAACAATTAATTAATTAATTAATCCACATGAATATGCATGCATATGGCTTCTGACCAAAATTAAGCTAAGAAGAAAGACGGTGCTGTTTTAATATTTTAAAAAAATTTCCAGTTTACTTTGAATGGAATTCCTCGTAATGTTTTGCTAATGCAATAATCTGAATAATTATTTTCAGACAAAAAGAATATAAAATATAATTATTAGTAAGTGGGTAGACGTGATTTGGTGAGTCTACGTTGAAAGAAAAGAAATTCCTGATTGTTTTTTTTTTTTTTTCTCTTGAAAGAAATACAGCCACTCCACAAATGTCAGAGTAGTTTGTTCGTCATAGATAGTGGAGTCATACGTACGTAGTGAGTGCATATAATTCCTAGTATATTTCATCGTGTCCATTATCACAATATTTGACAAATGTCTTTTTGGCCAAATCCTCTTTCATTTATTTTCATACCAATCCCACCACATTCCCCATTTCCCAAAAGGTCGTTTTCATTGAAGTTGGTAAGGGGTATGTTTGTCCCTTTATATTTCCAAAAGTGTGTTAATTTGTTACGCAGAAATTAATTAACGGGTTTATTATTATTATTATAATTTTGGGTGTAGATTATTATGTTAAGTGCTTCAGCCAATAAATTGTCGAGATTGAAAGAACAGGCTGAGGAATATGCTGCTTTGATTATGGAAGAGTTAGATCCTGAAAGGCTTGGCTACATTGAGGTAATTGGTGGATCTCTTTTCTTTAGTAAATATGACTACTTCAATATCTATATATATATATATATATATATGACTTCTTTTTGTATTTTGCTTTTTTTGCTTAACTAAAACTATCATCTTACTGCCAGTAGTGATATAGTTTGCACCTGTTGTTTACAGATGAACTTTTCTTAGTATGATTTTGAAAAGTGATGTGCATTCATCCAATCTAATTTACTTACAATGGTTTTATTATCATAGTAACGGTTTTATATTACTCCCTCCGTCCCATAATTATTGTCCACTTTGCCTAAAAAATTTTGTCCTAAAATTATTGTCCAATTTGACTTTTTATGGATCAAGTTACACATTTGTCCTTAGTAAAAAATATTATCCATAAAATCTTTGTGGTTAAATAATTACTTATGTAGGAGTATATCCGGTTGTTCAAGGTAAAATATAGTTAAGTTTGACTAAAAATAAAATTTTTCATTTTAGTAAAACTGGACAATAATTATGGGACGGAGGGAGTATATTGTTTAACTTATTGTTATTATTATTAACCTATGAATAAGAAATTATTTAACTATTAAAGTCACATAATATTAGGAGGACCTTCCGTTCTACCTTAAAGTAATTGTCATGTTTATTAGTATTTTTTTCAAATTTTGTTTACGACAATTTATTAATTATTATAAAACAAAATGTTAACCTGATTAATTTCCATTTCTTTTCCCCCTGAATTCCATCCGTCAGGGTAGATCCAAAGTGTCCTTGTCATAAATCTTTTGCCATTACCATCCATCAACCTTCCAACCTGAATATTGATCCTGAATTTGTAAGATATTTTTGGAAGGTTGCGCTGCTTTACAATAAAATGAATTAGCCATAGATTGTTTAAGAGTTTCGATTTCTCTCCACCGTTTTACAACACTACTATCAAGTTTATGAATTAGCCATTGATAGTTTAACCGTTTCGATTTCGTTCCATCCTCCTATAATACTATCAAGTTTAGAGTCTTATATACAATATATACTCCTTGCGTCCCGAAATTATTGTCTAGGTTGAATTTTCATTTTTAGTATATATTAAACTAAAAGTAAAATATTTAAATTGAATAATAAATTTAGGACCGAGAGAGTATATTTTATTATCAACCACTCAATTGACCTTCCAGAATGAGTAATGAATCCCAAAAAAGGTTTGAAATTTGAGAATCCGCTGCCCGGAGGGGAGGCTTTAACAGCCCACCTATTGCCCTTTTCTTAAATTCATTTTCTTTTCCAGTAAAGTAGTTGGCACCTAATTTGGTTAGATTTGATCTTTTCTTTTTTTCCCCAAAAGAAATTAGTCGGTGGAGTACGCAGCATTAGACAAGCAAGATAGAGTAACACGAAAAGGATCTGCTAAGTTGTGGAAATTTTTTTTTCGTTTAGAAATGTAGATTAAAGTTCCAGCAATGCATAGGTAAAACAAGAAAGATATTCTGAAAGATTTGCGAGTACTAATGATTAAATTAATAAGTCAATGGTTTTAATTTTTCTTGTCACATCAATATTGGTATCTAAAACACAAAATTACTAATAATAATATATTCCTAGTTTCTACTACCCTTTTTTTAATGATTTAATTAGTCCTCTTTGGCAACCTTACTCTGATCCCTTCTTTGCAAAAAAAAAAAAATATATATATAATACTTCACACTAAAATCATAAAGGGTATTCTCCATCTTATATTGACTTCGATTAAGTTTAAGTAAATGCCCATTTGCTGTTTTTAATTAACATTTTTTTTGGGTCTTTTATCAGCTGCCAAGTTTAAACAGAAATTGTGTCTATCTGCATTTTTCTTGGATTGAAAGGAATTGCTTCCTTTTTTTTTTTTTTTTCTTTTCTTTGTCCTCCCTTCTGAGGGCATAAATTAATCTACTCCAGCTTCATAAATTCATCTGAAGTTATATACTATTGTTCCATAGTCTTCTCATTTATTTGAAGTGTGTTAGTTGAGTAGACAAGATTGTTATTTTAGAACGAAAGAAATAATATTTTTCAAAACCCTTATGTTTCACATAGAAAGGCATCAGTAAAGTGTTACACTAAAGATGTAAGAAAAACTGTACTGGCCATATTTTGATTCCTTCTTGTGAAGTAGGTTTTGACATATGCCTCAAATAAAATGGAGTATCACAAAAAACAGGCATGCTTAGACTATGGTAATTAAGTAGGTACATTATAATGTTTGAGTACTCATTATGGCCTGCAATTTGGTCCATCCAACTAACTCATGAGATTGCTCCTCCTAAACTTGACTTCGTTTTCTTGCATGATGATGTTACAGCTATGGCAGCTGGAAACCCTACTACTCCAAAAAGACACGTACCTAAACTACAGTCAAGCCTTGAGCTTCACAAGCCAAGCATTGAGCCAAAATTTACAAGGGCTCAGAAAAAAGAGTCCAATTAGGAGGATGAGCACAAAGTTCGTTTATTGGGTGCAAGAAAATTGGAAAAGAATTTGGGTTCTAACATTGTGGATTCTGATCATGGTTGGACTCTTCACTTGGAAGTTTTTCCAGTATAAAGAAAGGGCTGCATTTCGAGTCATGGGTTACTGTGTCCTCACTGCAAAAGGTGCAGCCGAGACGCTGAAGTTCAACATGGCTCTTATTTTGTTGCCGGTGTGTAGGAATACCATTACTTGGTTGAGGTCCACCAGGCTCGGCTATCTTGTGCCTTTTGATGACAACATCAACTTCCACAAGGTATAGAGTGATAAATGATATTTTCTGTCCTGCATATTATAGCATTCGTAAATAAAACGGCATTGTTTTACTAATGGAAACAGAATTGGCACAATGGTTGATTTAGCTTCGAGTTTTATCCCATTTTTCTATGTTTAAGTCAGCTCACACTGTAAGCCATGATGAAAAAAAGAGTTTGACTTTGATTCTACTCCTCCCAATCCAATCTTTCTTAACAAGGAATGGATTTTCAAACACACAAATGGATATTTCTGAATCACAACATCATTTGCCAGCTACACAGCTTTGCCTACCACTGTTTGTTTTTTGATCTCTGCACCACATTTCAGAGGCAAAAAGCCGAAAATAAATAAATGAATATAGCATGGATGACTCCTGTTGCACTAAATCAAAGAAGATTAAATGAAAAATAAAATTGTTGTCAGCTTAAAGAAAAGCTCTGTTTAACTGATCTTGTTTCGAATCTCATACCCTTAAATGTTGTCATGCATGTATTGAAACTGCAAGAAATTGAAACTACTGTTAACTGAGTCTATTAAAAGATTCTAGGTGGTAAATTTCATTCCCCCAGTTCTTCAGAAAAATGGAGAACACTAAGCACCAAAAACTAGTTTTGCATTATCTGGACTGTAATAAATAAACATTTGTCTATTGTAACTGGTTTTGCAGTGATATTTGTGGCTGGAATTGATCAGTAAATTAACTTAGCTAATTGTTCTCGGGCCACAATTAATGGGTTGTTTTTGTTCAGACCATTGCTGCAGCTATTATAGTTGGTGTCATACTTCATGCTGGTAACCACCTTGCATGCGACTTTCCTCGGCTCATAGACTCATCTGATACAGCCTATGAGTTGTATCTAATAAACGATTTTGGTCATCACAAGCCTAGTTATATGCATCTAGTTCGAGGAGTCGAGGGGGTGACTGGAGTGCTAATGGTGATCTTCATGGCAATTGCTTTCATTCTGGCAACAAGTTGGTTCAGACGAAACCTTGTTAAGTTGCCTAAGCCGTTTGATAGGCTTACTGGATTCAATGCATTTTGGTATTCCCATCACCTATTCGTCATTGTCTACATATTGCTCATCGTTCATGGCCTATTCCTCTATCTTGTACACAAATGGTACCGAAAGACGGTAAGCTACTTCATCCTTCAATTTCATTTTTCACATTACAGCTTGGACATTTTGGCATTTACTTAGCTTAATGAAGTTCTTGTTTTGGGTTGCAGACATGGATGTATTTAGCTGTTCCTGTACTTCTATATGCAGGGGAAAGGATCCTCAGATTCTTCCGTTCTGGTTTCTACCCTGTCCGTCTTTTAAAGGTCAGCAGGATTTTGTCTTACAGTATCAACTTATGTTACCTTAGTTTTCTCTGTTCATTATTAAGTGGATTGTTTCTTGTCCTCCCATTCAGGTAGCAATTTACCCTGGAAATGTCCTGACATTGCATATGTCTAAGCCTCCCCAATTCCGATATAAGAGTGGGCAGTACATGTTTGTCCAATGCCCTGCAGTTTCTCCATTTGAATGGTAAGCAAATTGTTGCCTAACCTGCTGATGAATATATGGCAGAATAGATAACATTGCCGATAATTCTCTATCTACTCTGTAAATTTGTGGCCTCTTATTCAGTATTTTGGCATTTGAATAGGCATCCCTTTTCAATCACCTCTGCTCCCGGAGATGATTACCTCAGTATTCATATCAGGCAGCTCGGGGACTGGACTCAGGAACTCAAAAGGGTGTTTGCCGAGGCCTGTGAACCACCAATGGCTGGGAAAAGTGGATTGCTTAGAGCAGATGAGACAACCAAGAGATGGTACAGTAACTTTCTGAGTTGTATTTCAATTTATGATACTTCTACAATTCTAGTAACAACGTTCTAAGATGTTTTTAAAATACTGCGTTATTTCTGTTCTATATACTTGAAACTTGTGAAATTCAGATGTACACCTGTTTAGCAATTGACTTTCCTCTTGCTCCTTAGTTTGCCAAAGCTGTTGATTGACGGACCATATGGAGCTCCAGCACAAGATTATAGGAAGTATGATGTGTTGTTATTAGTTGGACTTGGGATTGGAGCAACTCCTTTTATCAGTATCCTCAAAGATTTACTCAACAATATCGTCAAAATGGAAGAGCAGAATGTAAGTGCCTTCTGCCCTGAAATTAATCAAAATGTTGCCTTATTATGTGCATAAGCTGAACCATTCTCCTATTTTCAGGATGCCATGGCTGACTTCAGTTCGCATTCAGATCGTAGTTCTGGATCGGGAACTCCCACGCTTAACAAGCACTCTCCAAAACGCAAGAAACCACTCAGGACAACTAATGCTTACTTCTATTGGGTAACCAGGGAACAAGGATCATTTGATTGGTTTAAGGGGGTGATGAATGAAGTTGCTGACCTTGATCAAAGGGTACATTTAACTTTCAACTTGTCATGATTTATCAACCACATTGACCTTTGAGGTTTTGGATTAATCATCTCTTTGTTATTTTATTTCCAGGGCGTTATTGAGATGCACAACTATTTAACCAGCGTATATGAAGAAGGCGATGCTCGTTCAGCGCTCATTACTATGGTTCAGGCACTTAATCATGCCAAAAATGGAGTTGATATTGTATCTGGAACCAGGGTAAGATTTTTCATTTCAATGTTTCATGTTGTTACATTGGATCGTTTTTGGACCTGCTGCACATGCCTAAATCCTCGTCCTTATTCATATATCTATAGGTTCGAACACACTTCGCAAAACCTAATTGGAAGAAGGTGTTGTCCAAACTATCCACCAAACATGCTAATGCTAGGATTGGTAAGTGCACCTTTAATACGTAACTGATTCTTAAAACATCATAAATTAATTTGCTTGCTGGGCTGTATTATAACACAAACAATCCTGTTGTTGTACATCTTAAATCAACAGGAGTTTTCTATTGTGGAGTACCAGTTTTAGCCAAAGAGTTGGGCAAACTCTGCCAGGAGTATAACCAAAAGGGTTCAACCAAATTCGAATTCCATAAAGAGCATTTCTAGATGGGCATCCCTTGAAATGGAAGACAAGGTAGCTTCTGCTTGAACACCAAAAAAGGGGTAAAAGCAGAGAGATTTTCAAGGAAATTTTGAAGGAAACAGATTGCAAGAAAATATTGTACAGTTCTTTTTCCAACCCAAAAACATGAGAAAAAGAAAAAAAAAAAAACACCAAGAAAGAAAGAATATAGAATTACTAGTAGATAACAACAATAATCCAGTAGCAAAGTTTGCTACTTTGTTTTTTTGAAAAAAGTGGCAGCATCAATAGGAAAAGTTGGATGGTAATCCTTGCGGATATCACAGAGAGTGCAACACAGCTAAAAAAGTTGTTGTTGACCTTGATGATGATTGAGCACTATGGGCAACATTCATACATGGTTTTAGGTAGCAAAAAAAAAAAAAAAAGGAAGAAGAAGGTAGTTTTGAAGTAAAGATGAGGCAGGTCTTCTAGACAGATTGTTCCATTACATAACTATTCCAATTTTGGTTTGGATGGAAGTCTTGGTTGTGGGACTCATGGTATCTTTTCTGGAAGATCATGCTGATTTTGTTAGGTACAATTGTATCTTTCCAATTAATTTGATTTATTATTAGTATTTTGATATAGCATTGTAAATCCCAAGTGTAGTATGGAGGGATTAGTGGGTTATGTGTGTATATCATGAGAGATTCAAAGTGTCCATCTTTTGTCCTGCACATTTTGAGCTTGATTAAGAATGGACTTTTATGGAATGAACAAGGTAAAACTGGTGAAGAACAACTATTAGCCTGAGGTAGTGGAATGTTTGAGCATTCCATAAGTTGAAAGTGTTGCCTGAGATATTTGGGAGACGTTGTTCAGGATTTCTGGTGGGATGGCCTTTGCAATTTTTTTGATTATTGTATGACCAAAAAATGCTGATGAAGCTCAAAATGTGCAGAATGTGGGAAAAATTGAAAAAAAATAAAAATAAAAAGCCATGAATAGTCCTGAACAAGGAAAAAAAAGGTTGTTCTTTATGTTGGGTTCTTAAAAAGAGATGGCTAGCATTGGGCTGAAATCCAATACACCTAACCAACGTAGACTGTCGAGTGCTGGGTTGATTTGAATACGTAGGCCCAACTAATTCTTCACAATTTAAAAAAGGCCAGCAAACATGAAAATTTGAAATTAAAACAAAGAATTTGTTGGCATGCATGGAGGCCTAGTTGGAGGTATTTGTGATTTGGTTAATAGAGATTGGTATGTGAAGATTAATCATTTTTTTTAGGAGAAGACTTTTGCAGCAGTTCTTTCTTTGCAACGAGCTAAGTTTCCGATAGACTTGTAATCCACTGACCGTGGAGAGATTGTGGTTAGAATACAATATTATCAGAATTTTTTGTCCACCGAATGTATTAATTTAATTTTTCTGATGAATCTCTTACGGGAAGGCGGTTTTATTCGGAAACAATGAAGACTTGACCACAAAATTATAATGGTGGTTTATTCCCGAAAATACAATAATAAACTTTTAGGCATCTCTTCTTCCTTCTACTTACAAGGAAACTAGTTTGGGGAAAGTCAAATTAATGGATAAACTTACAACTGTTAAAGTTCAAAACTTAGGGACAAAATGACACAGTAAAGCCAGATCGAATTTCTTGTGAAAACGTGGAAAGAACCTAAAAAATGGACATAAACTTTTCTAATATGAATGAGAGTGTGTGATCTAGAAATAAATAACCAACCCTACATTATGGGTTTGTTTTCCCTCGTACTCAAACATGCATATTTGGTTTAAAAGACAACGAGCGGTTGATTACTATACCATGTTTGCAGGGCACAACATGCTTGATTTGAAGAAAAAGAAGCAGCACACTGACGAAGTTGGGGACGACATGAGATTAAGTATTCAAATCAATCGATGATAAATTATGGTTATGAAAGGGGAGGAGGTGGCGGCGGCGGTGGTGGGGGACGGGAAAAGCGAGAGAATTGGTGAAATGAGGTTCGTGAAGATGGACTGGGGAAGATAATTGATCTGTAATAATGTTTTAAGTGTTAGGGATGTTATAGTCATTTTGATTGTTTTTTATTTTGACTTTTTGAAATTGAATTATTTTTGTTGGACAAGATTATTTATCAAACTGGACTATTTTTGTAGAACGGAGGGTACTTTTTTAAGACAAAAAGAACAACTCATATATAGTTAAGTACAACTACAAGAAAAACCTATTCAAAACGTGTCAAAATTTTTCAAGTATAAGTAGATTATGAAGCATAAAAGGGACAAGGAAGAAATTCTGTAATAATGCCAGTAAGTCGGTATGCAACAAGTATTGGTTAGTTAAACTTTTTCTCTTTAAAGCTCAAAATTTAAAGGAACTAGAATCTCGAATTTTAAAATACACTTACTTTTGCTAACAAACAAAAAAAAAAAAAAAAACAACTCTCGTTTCACTTTCTTTGTTGAAATTTTCATTGTTTGCTTAATTATGGATTTTAAGGTTCCAGAATCCTTTTTCAATCTTAACAGAACTACTACATATGTTTTATCATATTGTCAGCCTCTGAAAAAGTCTGATATAAAAGGTTTAAATCCTCTACCTAAACGTTCCTTTCGCCAATTAAGAAACTGATCTATTAAGCAGTTTCGTCCTTGATGATTTTCAATTTATGAGCATGAATAACGATAATTTATGTGTTCATTTTAAAAATCATACTGTAACTCCGGTCAACTAAAAAAAACTAAATATATATAATAATAATAATAACAACAACAACAACTACCCCTTTTACTTTGGAAAAAAAAAGGACTAGTACTGCAGCTTTTCATCTTCAGTAAACTATTGGATTCGCATATTCCAATTACTAAAAATAAGACTAAATTGTAGTAGTTCTACCTTTGGGCGACTTGAGTATGTGATCGATTCTTGAAACAAGAGATGGGAGAGTCGTTGACTTAGTTAGAACTCGCCGTCTAAGAAAAGAGGGTTGTGTTTTTAAAGCGTACCTATTTTTATAATGAATCTTGGTTCCCTGTTCATGGAAATTCTTTTTTATTTTTTTCACAAAAAAAAAATTATGGACTTTTCGCACAGTGTCTTATAACAAACTCGAAATTTTATTTTCCTGGGTAACTATTTGGTATTTGAAACTCATAACATATTAACATGGTGTGGTGCTAAAGATTATCATTAATTTGCCGATCGAAATGAAAAAGAACATCATCTAAAATTCTGTCCTTCATGTATAAAGATGATATTCCCTCCATCTCGAAATAATTGTCATGTTTGGAATTTTACTAATAAAGTAAATTATTGTAATTTTGAAAATTTAAACTAAACAATAATTTTGAAAAATAGAGAATTGGGTTTTTCATGTTTCTATGTGTATCTATTGTCCCAAAAAGAGAGAGTTCCATTTATAAACTTTGTCTTTCCCAAAGAATAATTTATTATCATTAATTTATCGGTGACATATATAACAAAAGGGAAAAAAAAAATCAATCATCGCACTTATATATGACGACGGCCGGGCTTAGAATTCTTCTCCCTAGAAGGAACATCTTAAATCTTCTTGGAAATGACGTATGGATGTATATAACACATCGTTTTTCTTGTAATGGAGTATCAAGTGTCAGCAATAGGACAACATCCCTTCATGTCGATGACTTAATCTAACCTAATATTCCAAAAGAATAAAAATTACTCTCTCCGTCCCACAAAAATAGTCCACATTGAGTTTTAAGTTTTGTACTGTTTTTAGTTAAATTTGAAAACTCAATGTGGACTATTTTTTTGGGACGGAGGTAGTAGTAAACTGTATATTCTTTTTGTTTAAAATAATTAATTAGTACATTAATTTTTTCTATTTTGTAATTGTTTAAGAAGCATGATGGGTAATCATTTTAAAATATACGAAATTTTGCCGAAATTAGGTATGATGATGCTATTTTTTGTTTTAAATAGATGTGATGATGTAATACGTGACTAAAATACGTGACTAAAAAAAAAAAATAAAAAAATACGTGACTAAAATTTATTTGTATTCTGGATTCTTATCCAATCACTAGGTTTCTTCCTGTTTTTACGTTGAAAACTTCTGCATGCGTTCTTATGAATATACTACGTTACTGGGAGTTTAGGGCTTTTCCCGTTTACAATACTGCTGGAAATACTTCGTTACGCTAATTTGGATTTATACCTTACATTAAGAAACAAAAATAAATACGTATTACTCCGGATTAACAGTAACTCGTAAAACTATCGTCTTATTTAATTTGGATGAATTACGTAGACAATCACTAGGGTTTCTCATGGTTAGCCCAAAAAAAGACCATTATTAAAATTTACACATCACTAGGGTTTTTTTTTTTTTAGGTAAAAAGAAATATATTATTAAAATTGCTGGAAATCGTTCAGCTGCACTTCAGTTATATTTGCTCGTATTTTAGGCCAGTTTGTATATGTATCGGAACCATTGTTTGTTAGAGTTACTAGTTCACGTGCGATAATATTGTTACGATAACGGATCCAAAAAATCCCTAGAGAATGAAACTAGGGGAGTAACGTGCGAATTGATTCCATAATCTGATTTGAGTCGACCCTATTAGAGACTACAATTTGGGCTTCAACAATAGTATTCAAGGCATCGCCACAGATTGAGAAATGCTCCTGATTACACTCCATCGCAAACAACAATGCTTCCTTCAGCGCCAAGCCTTCGGCATCCTCAAGATCCGATATGCCCAGGAACTTTTTTGATGTCCCTTTAAACAAAATTTCCATCCAGATCCGCGTACCACACTCCAATTCCTGCAGAGCGGTGTAGGCGAGAGACTCCCCCCATCAAACCAAACTTTTGACCCGTCAGGAGGCCGTCCCAAGAGAGAGTGAGTTTGCAACGAGGTTGGCAATCGTTCTGGCCACATGTTTGAATCAAGAAAATTCCGTCTCATGTTTCCAGACATTAAAACAGTAGATGCCGGACGCAATGTTTCCTTATCATGAAGCAACTTGTTGCGGCGGAACCAAATACAGTTGAGTAGCGTGGCCACAACTTCGACGTCTTTCACCTCCGGAGTTGCAATGAGGGACGTTATCCACACACATCCGCTGCTTTTCTCATGCTGCCATACCGTATTCAGCATGGTCGAGATACGCCAAACTTCCAAAGCAAACGGACAATCAAAAAAGAGGTGCTTCGTGGTTGTGTTGAAGCCTCCACAACTAACACATGCGTCCGGTTGAGGGAGGTGCCGCCTGTTGAGATTCTCAGGTTAAAGGCAGGGTTTTTTTTTTTTTTTCTTATTTAAAAAAACTGCATTATTAAGATTAATTACGTAAAGATTTGAGCAATCGTCGTGGAATTATGGGATCATATACATGATTGATTAACTCAGAGTCATAGCCTTATTTTTACGAGTCACAATAACATATGAAATTACTCTACTCGATTGCCTTTACACCTTAAGATAAAGATTCCTGATTTTTAAGTGATGGAATTGTTGGAACGTAAAAGTTGATTTTTCTCAAACTACTAAGAAATTACTGTCATTCTTACTTAACTTTCCAGTGAATCCGTTTTTATAATGATATTCTGTACGTATCAAAATAAGAGACAATTGTGCATGTGGTATAATAAGTTTAACATGAGATTATATTTTGAAAATACGATTATATAATAAATTTACAAATATCTCTAATAAAAAAATAAGAAAGTTGCAAATTCTTTACACCAATACTTACCTAGCATGTGAACGGGTTCGAATCTCGGCCGATGAACAACAATGAAAATGTATAGTAAATAAACCTAAACGGTAATTTACATTGGAAACTAAAATTACGAAGATAAGTATAGCTTTTTAATATTCTCATGTATTTTAAATGATAGTCCAATTTGAAATATTATAACTGAACAATTATTTTATAATGATGGGAAGTAACCGTATTTTGAAGATAGCTTACACTGCTTACATCAAGTAGCCTTTTGTTTTTCTCTTTTTGGTTTTTGTTTTATTTTCTTTTTTTTTTGGGGGCTAAAAGTTGCCTTGACGCTAGAAATGAAGGTGTTTTGACAGCCTTTCTCATCTTCTTCTTTTTTTTTTTCAAAAAAATAAAAATAAAAATTCTCACGCTTAAACCAATATTATTGGCTTCAACATAAAGATTATCTTCTAGGATGCATCCTACAAGATAATTACGGATTCTATAGAAACAAAAATGACAAGGAGGTAAAAATGGCTCATTCATGAAGAGCAATGATTACTAACTTAATTAATGATTTATTTACGGATTCTGTAGAAACAAAAATGACAAGGTGGTAAAAATGGCTCATTCATGAAGAGCAATGATTATATTTTTATTAATTATTCATAATGATCATGAAGATTGATTAATGATATACATTAAAGGCTACATACTATACATCAAGGCTAGGAGTCACTTAGTTTTTGGTTAGAAGGATATACTTACTTATTAATGTAACAAAATATCTCCTAGAATTATTGCTTTTGATATATTTTAGATAAGTAAGTGGCAGTTTCATGCAGTTTTCCTAGAATTTAAAATTCAGAAATGCCTTTATTTGTTTTAAGGGTAAAATATCCATTTCCTAAGATATAAATGAATATGTAAAACAAAATCAAACACTACAAAAGGTTAAATCTCCATTATAAACAATTTATCAAACAAAAGCAACGGGGAAAAGAAAAGGAAAAAGACTTAATTCTTTATTGTCATCAATATCTGGTTGAGCTATTTGTTAAAATTAAGAAGGTTTTTTAACTGCAATGATTAAAGGAGATTGTCTCAATAACCTTCCATAGTAAAAGATTTGGGTTGGTGCCACCAACTACACCGAACGCCTATAAATTGACAGCCCTAGTACCCTTTAGTTTGTAACTCTAAAAGGTTGCCTTTCTTCTTCTCTTTTGTTTTTTTTTTTTTAAGCTTTTCTTTATTTTGTTTCACCTAATTTTCTTTTCCCTCATTTACTGCTTCTCAAATATATTTACTTGTTTTTCTTTCTTGTGAAGTGTATGTGAATCGATGATGCCTCATCCATGGAGGAAGTGATTTACAACACTGTTACTATCTTGTTTACGTTTCCAAAATAAGTTTTCCCGCTTGATAAACCATTAATTTTTTTTTTTCTTCTTGTTAAGAATTCCTAGGTAAGATGGCTTCTGAAGGAGACGCTAACAGCTGCGTGGAGGATGGAGAGGCTCCGTTTGGTTTTGAGATACGGAAGAGGGCGAATCATCGACACTCTCCTGACCAAATTCAACAACTTGACGCGTACGTTTCTTCATGAAACTTCGCCTGTACCATGGACAAATTAAATTGATCATGTTTATATAATTATTAAATTGTTTTTTTTGGGTAAATCTGTAAATTATATTTACTGCAATAAAACTGTTATTTACAAACCTATTTTTGCACTACCACTGATGAGTTTTAAATGTTACGAATTTTGTGTAGGTTTTTTCGGGATTGGAAACATCCTGATGAACGTGACCGGGAGGCGCTGAGCCAGAAGGTTGGTCTGACGCCTAATCAGATAAAATATTGGTTCCAGAACAGAAGGGCACAAACCAAGGTACAAATTAATACTGTTTAATTCATACTATATATCTTCTGAAAGAAAAAAAAAAATGAATTATGATTTATGAACAGTGCATTTAACATTTTCTCCATGGTTTAAAATTGTAGGCTCACCAGGAAAAACTGCAACTTTTTAAGCTGAAGAATGAGAACTACAAATTGAAGGCGGCGAACTTTGCGTTGCGGGAAGCTTGTAAGAAGCTTGTTTCAGCAGCACAAAGTCAGGGAGTTTCACAACTCGCTCTCAAGGAGGCAGTAAGTAATTTTTATCCATAGATGAATATATGTTAATTAATGTGGGTTTTAAAATCAATAATATGTGACTTATAATTATAAAATTTCATGTGTTTTTTAGATTTTGAGGAAAGAGCGTCTTCGCAGCAGTGACCGCAGTTGAAGAGAGGATGCATAGTAATTGATAAAAAGGAATAAAGTAGTGTCATTTTCATGTTTTTGTTGGGGGTTAAGCTCATACGCTGCCTCGTGTTATTCTTTTTTCTTTTTCCAATCAATAAAGTCGGAGATCTCTATATAATAAAGTTATCCATCGGACACATGTCGTAAAATTAGATAAGTTAATCCATATAGCGAAAAATTAGATACCCAAGTCCACGTATCGCAACCACATCATTTCATCATTTAATAGTAATTTTGTAATATAAAATTATGAATTTATTCATTTAATGGTAATTTTTAATATATAAAATTATAATTTCATAGACAAAACTAAATTAACTAAAAGATTTCTCAACAAATATATAATATTGAACAAAGTGATAAAACTTCTCTATCAGATTAATTAAAAAAGTAATTTTTCTATTGAGCTTTCCGGTAATCACATTTCTTCTATATCAACTGCAATTTAATCCAACTAAAAAGTTAACAACTACGACATCTTTATAAAAACGCAAACCTTTTCCAATTCCTTCCTTCCAGCCCTTTATGTTTTTTACCCGCAAGAGGTCATTGTTCCAGAATTGGAAGAAAGTGATAAAACTAAATTATGGATGAATTTAAATTAATGATAATTTTTTATTGTAAAATTATAAATTATATGTAAAGTAAATTAATTGGGATATTTCTGAAAAATTAAATTAGTTAGAAGATAGTAATAAATGATACTCCCTCATCCCAATTTAATAGGTTGCCTTTCCATTTTACGGTGTCCCACTAAATAGGCTGGTTTCTAAATATAAAATTTATATTTTTATGAAATTCCAAATGTGCCCTTAACTCAACTAACTGGTTGAACATTATTAAAAGTATTGGAATTAATGGGATTGGATAAATTTTATTTTTTTAATGAGTTGAAATGAGAATTTTGAATTTTCAATTAATGAGTCATGTAAGTTTAACAATGTTTAACAATACATTAATGACTTGTGCCACTAATTTATTAATGCCTTTATAAGGGCATTTTAGAAAGATTAAGATTAAAGGGGTTAGTTAAGTTTTTTTTTAAGAGAATTAATAGTGGTTTCCCACTTATCTTCAGTGTGACTCGAACCCGTGACCTATTGGTCAAAGGTGAGGCGTCTTGCCATTAGACCGCACCACGTTGTCTAAGGGTTAGTTAAGTTAGTTTTATTAATCTGTGTGAAAATTGATAAAAACCTATTGAATTAGGAACGGAGGAAGTAGTATACAATCTTGGGGGTTTCGTTCTTTCCACCACCATTGGGCCCTTAGGGATTTTTCAGGTATTTGCTTATGTTGCTTTATAGCGAAAATAAATGTTAATATAAGCTATATATATTTACGCAAATTTATAGTACAGTATGTCACGAACCTGTGATACAAGGAATTAATGAGAAATTTTAGACTTTGACTTAAAAATAAATAAGTACACTAGCGCGAATAAATAAAAATTAAAACAAATACACTACCGCTGGAAAGCATAGTCCGTGTAAACTAAATTAGTTAGGAATGATTTTCAAAGGCATCTCTTATGATTGAAAAGTAATGGAGTCTACTTAATTAACTAACGCGAATTATTTTTTGGATTTTTATTTTTTATTTTTGACTGAAACTAATTTCAGTTTTATTTTTAGAGCAGGTGAAATCATCAAAACTCTAAAGAATGGGAAAAGCAAGTTGAAATCATTTTCAAAAAGGAAAAGAATGAATACAAATTGAAGGGATTAATATCCAGCTTCGTTGATATCATTTTTATTTTATTTTTTTGGTTAAAAAGTTGATATCATTTTTCGCACTAAAAATGTTTTACAAAGTGACACCGTCCCTCTCAATTTGATGTTAATGATAATATATATATATGTATATATATAAATATATTCATGGTAATATATTCTTTTGTCCCTTAACGTGCAATACTAATAAATTATTACTGTTGATTACATAGTTTATAAATTACAAAATAAAAAAGAGTAAAATAATAATAATAATAAAAATAATAATAATAATAATAATAATAATAATAATAATATATTAATCAGCCAAATTTTCAATCGAAGAAATTTTTAATAATATTATATAATATTACATTATATTATATTATATTATATTATATTTTATTTCATAATTATATAATAATGGGTAAACCCTAATCATTTAGAAACGGGTTCATTTGGAAATGTCTAACTGAAAATAAATAATTTTTTACATAAATATAAAATGTACGACTTTTTATGGGTATATAAAGTATATGGGGGAATAAATTGGGTATATAATATATATATATATATATATATATATATGATTTGTTTTCAATTACTAGATATGCTCAATAGTAGTTCAATAAACTGTGTCACTTGGTGAGAGTTTATTAAAAGATAAATTTGAACGAGATAATTTGGAAGGGTTAAAAATAAATATTTTTTTACACAAATTATGAAATGTATGATTTTATGGATATATAAAATGCATATATGATTTGTTTCAACTACTAGATGCTTAATAGTACTTCAATTGGTTTCACTTGGGAAAGGTCCATTACAAGATGAATTGAAACGAGATGATTTGGAAAGGTCCAACTAAAATTAAATAATTTTTAACACAAATATTAAAACAAGATTTTTATGGTGATACAAATGCGTGTCTAATTTGTTTTAACTACTAAATATTCTCAATAATATTTAAATAAATGGGATCAGTTGGGAAGGATTTTATTACAAGGCAAATCTCTTACACTATAATCATATACCACTTCATGCATTATTTACCAAGGTTTTGACACCTGGCCCCAACGGGTTCATCAAAGGGTGGCTTAGGGTGTTAGTAAAATTTTTAAAAAAGAAAGAAATAATTAAATAGTAAAATGTAAATATATTATATGGTCAATAGTACTCCAATAAACGGGGTCACTTGAGAAAAGTTTATTACAATATGACTTGGAACGAGATTAATTAGTACGGTTTAATTAAAAATAATAACTTTTAACACAAATATCAAAGGTCGAACTATGATTTTTTAGGGTATATAAAATACGGGTATTGTTTATTTTAATTACTAGATATTCACAATAATAATTTAATAGACGGGATCACTTGGGAAGAGTTAATCACAAGATGAATTACAATAGGATCATTTGAAAAGGTCGAACTAATAGTTTTTTTTTGGACACATATAAAATGTATGATTTTTTTTTATGGTTCTATAAAATGAATGTATTATTTTTTTTAATTACAAGATATGATCAATAGTATTTCAAATAACAGTGTCACTTGGGAAGAGTTTATTACAAAATGAATTGGAATGAGATTATTTGAAAAAATCTAACAGAAAAAAATAATTTTCACACAAATACAATATGTATGATTTTTTATGACTATAAAAAATGAATGTAGGTTTTGTTTCACTTACTGGTTCAATAGTACATCAATAAACCGGGTCAAAATAAATAATTTTTCACACCAATATAAAATGTGTATAATTTTTATTTCTATATAAAATGCATGTATGATTTGTTTCAGTTACCTGAAGCTTAATAGTATTTCAATAAAAGAGGTCACTTGAAAATGGTTTATTACAAAATGAATTGCAATGGGATAATTTAAAAAGGTACAACTAAAAATAAGAAATTTTTAGTACAAATATGACATGTATTATTTTTATGGCTATATATGATACGCGTATTATTTGTTTTAATTACTAAATATTTTCAATAGTAGTTCGATAAACGTGGTCAGTTGCGAAAGATTAATTACAATGCAAAAGATATCATATATCATTTACAAAAATTTTGACATATGGTCCTGACGGGTTCATCCAAGAGTGGGTTAGGGTGTTAATAAAATTTTTAAAGAAAGAAAGTAGTAATCAAATAGAAAAAATGTAAAATAATTATATGCTGGTTTAGGAAGTGTTGTAGGATTGTGGTATAGGAGATCCTTAGCCCTATTATAAAGTAATTTAGAACGGGATCATTTGAAAATTTCTATTTAAAATAAATAATTTTAAGAAAAATATAAAATTTATGATTTTTTATGACTGTAAAGAATGCATGTATGATTTGTTTTAACTACAAGACTTGTTCAATGCTACTTCAATAAATGGGGTCACTCGGAAAGAGTCTATTACAAGATGAATTAGAATGAGATCATTTGTTAAGGTCTAAGTAAAAATAAATAATTTTAAACATAAATTTATTTTTTAACACGATTATAAGTACTAAAACCTTTCAAGTTTTGATAAGCAAATCACAAACTTTTTATTGGTGGTCAGGATTTTGTAATTTTTTTTTATTTTATTCTCAAATCTTACATATATATTAAAGAAAAATGATTTGAAGACAATATCACTTAATTCGTCTACTAATACACTCAAACTAATTTGTGATCACTTTGTTAAAAACAAAACTTTTTGGCATTATCACATTGATCGAATTGAAATTTGTATTTATGCATATTTTGATATGATTGATATAAATTTTAACGCAAATTCATATAACTAAAAATTAGACAGAATGATATCTATATCCTACATGCAACGCACGGGCCAGTATTAGTTATATTAGTTAAATAATAATAATGAAGCATACAAGATGCTTTTTAAGGTCCTATAATTCATCGACTCTAAATATGTGTAAGTAGTGCTTTTACCCAACTTCTTAGGCTTGCTGCACATAGGAGAACCCACACTATTATCTTTCATAATTAGAAGTATTTAAAAAAAAAGAAAAAATATATATTTTCGCCACATGAATATGGAATGAGGAAAACTAGAATTAAACTAGAATGGGGAAAGTCCAAATGATGATAATACAAAAATCATTACTAATGTCTCAATTAAAATGACTAGTGAACCAGAAAGGAAAATAATCCAAAACATGTCAAAATTTAACTAGTATCATAAAAATTATTACACAAAATTGTAAAATTACATGAGATTTCCTATATGTCTAATGTTTGTTAAATTTTTGCTCGAGATAAAAAATGAAACGAGCTAGAATGCCTGTTTCGGAATGATTTTCCCCTTATGTTAAATTGAATCGTTTGATTTATGTTGAATTGGCTTTAAGGCTTCAAATTCAAGAATCAAGGTTAATTTTTCAGTGCTATGGCACGCCTACACACATTTAACAGAACTATTGCTTTATACTAGTATGTCCCGAAAAAGAAAAAGAAAACACTTTGTAAATTAATAATTTTG